ATGTTACAAATGAAACGATATATGCAGTATATCCTCATTTATCAGTTTATCGCCACAAGCACCTAAAATGTAATAAAAAATTAAAAAAAAAAAAAAAAAATTTCATTTGCAAAATTTACATTTTCAGCCCTTTTTTAAAACTTAATTATTCACAATTCAACGGAACTTAATTTTTTTTTATTTTTATATTTGTAATATATGTGTTTGTACGTGTATGTGGAACCTATAAAATAAAAGTTATTTTTTAATAGGAAGGCCTGCGAACGCTTGCGAAATTGAAAAAGTAAAGGGTGGTTGAGGGGGGGGGGGGAAAAAAGAGGAAAAATTCAAATGTTCTGTTAATTGAATCAACAAAAAGTTGGAACAATATGTACAAAGGATTCGTAATTAATTGTTTTATGCATCATTATTTACATTTATTGTTTGTTTTGTTGCTTGTTAAACGGATTTCGTTTGAAGCTATTGTTTTAATTTCCAAACTCTTACCGCATAAGTACAACTTTTTTGTTTACCTATATTACGTAACAATAAATCGCGTAAATGGTTCGTTATTTATTATTTCTTAGTATTGTAAATAATATAATAGTTGTTATAAATCGAAATGGAGGCCATGTTCTCAATAGTAATTCCATTGATTTTAATGGAAAATTAAAAAAAAAAAATTAATGCATATACGTGGGTTGCTTTAAACAGCTTCCATGCCTTCTTATATAGAAATTCATACATTTGCCATTGGAGGACAAGCTCTGCTCGGCATTCGGGAATAGACTGAATTGATTTTGAAATTGGTGTCACATTGGCGAAAACTCCAGTTGGAATGATATTTCTTTAAGGTTTAATTTCCTTCCTTGCGTAGCCGTACAATTTTTCTAATTTAGTTTTGCCTAATTTCTGGTTATATATAAAATTCATAAGATCGCTTTAGAATACTTGTTTCGATTTAAGTGAGAAGATAAAGCGACCAAAAAGACGAAAGCATAATATATACCTTCATATATATAATGTAATAAATAAAAACGAATTTAAACAATGGAGAACGGTGAGAGATCAGGCAGAAGGGACACCGTGCGGTGAACGATAGACTAAGTCGAGACCTCATAAAAATATCTGAATGCGATCAGGCTAATAGAATAAGTCTTAACGCCGGCAAAACTCAAAGCCCTTTTCTCATGGATAGGGACAGTGTAGAACGGTCGGCAACCCTTGATGTTCTTGGCATGAGAACACAAAACGATGTTCCTTGAGCGGAACACGTGCTCGAAGTGTCGAAAGACGTAGTCAAGAGCTTAGGATTTTTAAAGCGGTGCAAAAAATACTTCTCCAGTCGGTATCTGTAAAGTTTCCGGCGTCCATATCCAGCCAAAAGCAGAGAATAACCCGAATGTGACGGCGGCCAAATTCTCGACAGCCTTGAGTATCGTAACGTGGGGTGTGCTACGCTATGTACATTTGAGGTAAGAGACAAAAGAGATTTGTCCACCAATTGAATTCTTTAACCTCTCATCCACTCGTCCTGGAGTTATTCTCATACCGCGCGACATACTACCGCAACTCGTCACTTTTTAACCAAAATGCTATGGAAGAACCTATCAGCAGTGCTTTCTTCCACCATACCTAATGACATTTTCAATCCGAACTGTCGCAAACATTACTCCCTCTTCCCACTCTTCTTTTCCCCGTAAATCTTCCTCCACCGCACGTATAAAGGAGTGGCTTGAAGTGGCTGGTCATAGAAGCAGAAAAAAAACTTCAGAAAAAAAGTGTTCATTTAGATAAGTATGAGAGCCGATAGCCTGTGTTGCTAGTGCTCAATGTCTCTTCTTTTAGTCTTAGAATTCAATTCATTAGTCTAAAATTAAAATAATAATAATAATAATAGATAAGTATGAAAGATTTAAATTGAAAAGTCTTACTACATTTCATAATGTTATAATGTGTGGCATGTCAGTACTGCATTGTCTTCCTCTCAAACATGATGTCTTTGAATCAATTAACCAGTGAAACTTGAGTAAATTTTCTCAAATGCTTCAAAGTGTTGAATACACTTAGAGAGCATTGCCAACTACTGACGGTCAATCATTGGGCAACATCCCAACTTGCTGACGATCTCGTTTAACCAATCCTCAGTGTTTAAGTTTGTAACGTTTAGTTATCTTTTTCGAAAATAAGTCCTTTTTCTTGGAAAGAGTTTTTCTTTTTCCTCTTCTTATTTTATTGTGTATTATCGCAAAAGAGACAGTTCTTTTGAATATTATGTGACATATGAAATCTGTGCAGCGCAGTGTTATGATGCAATAATGCATAAATATCCGGCAAAAATGCATAAATTACTTAAAAAAAAAAAAAAAAAATAAGAAAAAAAAATTATAATAAAACTGCAATGACATGCAAAAAAGAAACGAAAAGAGTAAATGATAGAATAATTTTAAAGAACGGAGGCACATTTCGGCCCCATAATCAAAATGTGACAAATTGTGCGATATTTAAATGTTCGCTACTGCTTGTGCGTTTTCAAAACTTGATGGCTGATGTGGTTGCATTTTCTTTGTTCTTCTTGTTCTTTGATATGCATGGAAAACAAGATAAAAGATGGGAAAGCATGAAATAACTATGAATTAAATATGAACCATAAATGCCGTTTGATTACATTGCTGCTATGCATTGGGCACGCCGAAATGAGTCAGCTTACGCAGGGAAACATGCAAGAGTATTAAGTAAATGATACAGCCCGGAATTGCCTGAATGAGAGGTAAGCGAAAAATTAATCCGTAAAAAAGGATTTGCTATACTACATATATTCTGTACTGTAATGTAAACCCTGTACCGTGTCTTTCGATTTAATGAACGGCCATGAAATGTAAATTCTACCGAATGAAATGTGATACGCAATGTTTTTCTTTCATTCATATATACAGGCAGCTAGTGAGGCTAGTCATTGTTGTCTGTATAAACTGTGCAAATCTCGGATAGAGCTTCAAGAAATTTTAAGACTTACTCTATGTATGTACGTTACGGACCATCTTTGCCTTTGCCTTTGGTTGATTGCAATTCCAGCGCAAAGATCCATGTATTGAAATGAATAAAAATACGCCAAAATATTTCTTGGCATATTTTTGTTGCAAAAGGCTGCAGTAAGAGCATGCAAACGATATGGCAGTTGTTGTGATGTTTGTTGGCCGATTGCACAATTTGTAATTCTTTACTTTTTTTTTTTTTTTTTTTGGTTCAGTTGTGTTCGTTCGTTACACAGAATATCCCCCAGACTCAATCTCTTTGGTTTGCGGTTCGTTCTCTTGATTTATATTGATTAATGTTGTGCCTGTACACAAAGTGCAAAAGTTGCTTGCACACCATAAGCAGCATGTACGCTTATATTTATACTGTCAAGTAAATAACGGGAATAATTTTGCATACAAATATCTCTTTACTAACGGATTTGTTTGGCTATGATCGAACTGTAGCCTACAATCCATTCATTCCACTTCTCATAAAACGAACCATAGATATGCATGAGCTTCTTATTTAAATTTTTTCTGCAGACAGAAGGAGGAAACATTGTGATGCACAAGTTTTCTACATTTAATGTAATTTTATTTATACGATTACAGAGCAACGATTTCCGACTAAGAAGTAAGGTCTTCAATCGGTACAGGATCTTAACATACAACCTTGGAGGCCATCAAAACTTGTCAGACAATGAACTTTTCTAACTTTTTTTAAAAAAAAGAAGAGATGTTAAAACAAATGTTTATGTTTAATTGGTAACTTAGAATATTTCTATGCAATTTTTCTATAACATTTTCATTTTTGTTTTGAGGATGAAATACTTGGTAGATGCTTTTTCTTCCAATGAACCTAAAGTGCTTTCTTCTTCGTCAATTTCTGATCAAAAATTCGTTTAGTATTTTCGACCAAAGGTCGGATATACTTTCTCTTCTTCGAAAAGTTGATGCTTTGCACTGATTTAAGAGAAAACGAACCATTCGATAAGAGCGTTCGATGAAAATGATTTAATTGCTTAACTTGTTAAAGGAATTGATTTTTTTAAGATTTCATACCAGCCTAAATAAGGGGAGTATTTTAACCGTTACCGATACTTTTCTGACAGTATGTTCATATTTTCATAGGTTTGTTTACGGTATTATTGTATAAATATTTTTTGTTTGGTTAAAGGGCGAATAAAAGAGAGAGGAGAGATAGAGATAGAGATAGATATAGAGAAGGAGAGTGAAAAAAAGAAAAAAAAACACAAAAAATTATTGCATACTTTACGGAAATTAACCGCATTTCATGATGTGTTTCTTTACAATAACACATACAACTGAACAAACACTTAAACAGATGTACTTACGAACATTGAATGAACATATAAATAAAGACGTGAATAAATGGGTAAGTGAGCGAGTGGGTTAGTCAGAATGAGTGAGTAAACGAATAACATGAAATTTTTTTTTTATATATGTCTACACAAACAATCAAACAAACAAATGTACGTATAAACGTAAAAAGTCATTTGTAAAATAAAGTCCAGAAAAATATGGTTGCAATTGTTAAATAAATGTTGGTTGCTATTTATAAGTATACGTATATATATATATATATATATATATATATATATGCATAAGTATAAGTATGTAAACAATACTTTGTGAAAGAAAATTAATCACTTGAATCCAGTAGGGAGTCATGAATTACCCGCAAAAACCCCATATGTTAGTGTAAAGACCGTACATGCTCGTGCTATTGTTGCATATGTAATATGTATGCATGTATGCATGTATGTATGCATCTATGTATGTATGTATATATAAACATAATAAAAAATACAACTTATTTTGCTTAAGCAAACATCTGCATAAACATAAAAAATGCAGTTGTTGTTTTAAATAAAATAATTTTCTCGTACACTACACTTTTTATATGCTACTGAACAAATGCGTATTGAAACACAAAACCTATAACACCTCATTATCACATTTTATATGCTTTTCATTACTTACGAGCATAACGTGGAGACATGCAGTAGCATATTTATGTCTGTGGGTAGTTGTGTTTTCATGCTGCCATTACCATTACCGACACCATCATGATCATCATCGTTATTATCAACATTATCAACATTTGCCATGAATACCATCATTTAGAGCGACGTGTGTCAGATGGTTAAAAAAAAAAAAAAAAAAAAAAACAAAAAAAAACAGAATACAACAACACAACATAACATAACACAACACAACAGCACAACACTTATATTCATACGTAGAGTTTTTTCACTGTTTCATTTTTCACTTATATATATATATATATATATATACTTTTTTCTTCTTCTTCGTCGTTTATGTTTTTATTTTTTGCGTTTATTTACATCTATAATGTTTATATAGTTATGTTAGTATAGTATGTAAAGATGTGTATACACTCGCTCTCGCACAGACAAACGAGTAAATAGCATTTATTTCCGTTTATAACGTTTAAATGAAACCGTTTTAGTTCGCTCTATGAATTTTTGTACTGAAATGTACAGTAACATCAACACATTCATATATACATATAGACATTCGTTAACTTTTAACTGCTAGCTCTGTCAGTAATCAAGTTGTGTACATTTTAATAATATCAAAAAAAAAAAAAAAGCAAAAAAGGAAAGGCAGAAAAAAAAAAAAATCCCGCACCCCACACTTTCTAACATACATAAGTAAATGTTGAATAAATTACACGGAAATGTGTTGCAAAAAAGTATCATAAAATTTTCTTTAACATAAGCATAATAATCTGTACAATATTTGTTATGTTTTACGCATTCGTATCCCTCTCTATATATTTGCATATGAACTCGTCAGTGTATATTATTAGCAACAGTTTGCTATTTATCTGATTATATTAAAAGTTAGATGTTTAACGCATAAGAGCGGGTCAATTACGAGAACCATTAACCGAAACCTGAAAGCATTTATCAACCAACTGATTACTGATATTAATTCGAACTTTAGAAAATTTATAAGAAAATTATCAATGACGAGTTACGTGTAAGCAAAAGTTCTTCCAAAGAGACGGCCGTTTTTTTATTTGTTGCACAACAACAACAACAATAATATTAACAACGTAAGGGGTAAATTCTGAATCTTATCACTCTATTAATTTTGCTTTTGTGACTTTACCAAACCCAAAGTATTTTTCTATTATGGGGTAACGAAACCCTAAGCAGGAGTAGAAGCCTAAGAAAAAGCGATTTTTTCACAATTTGTTTTGGATGAAAGGAAGCTGAATAGAATAAAAATATCTCTTTTATTCAACTCAGCAAATCATCCGTTGTTGATTTGCTGACTCGCAGAAGAAGAAGAATGATAATATTTGACAAATATTATTAAGCAAAAAAAAAAAGAAGAAATTATTTTGAAAAAGTGTTAAGGAAAGACAAAGCCGCAGTCATTCTTGTAAGGCCAGCACAGCCTAGGCCTACTATCTTGCGATTTTCTTGAAAAATGTACAACAGCGTTACTCCTTAAACTGTCACATTTTCAGGCTTTTTATTTTTTTGTTTCTTTGAAAGACGGTTAGCGTTTTTACCGGCGGATCGTAATCTTTTTTTTTTAAATTTGTATGTGAATGTGCTTAATTTCAAATCATTTGTCACTTTTAAAGTCGCAAAAAATAACAACGGACAGAGGGACGGAAATGCTTATATCCCTCAAGCATTTCGTACGTGTCAAGCATAGACCATGTCATGGAGAAATAAGATAATCTAACTTGTAAATAAGATTGCTAACAGAACTATTCTTCCGGTTGTGGTTTGGAATACGTAAGGCCGTAATTAATAATTAATGGTTCGTTTTAAAAAGAATTGTTCTCTTAATAAAATGCAACCGACTTTGTGTTTCCAGTTGTTCGTGTAAATCGTTTACAACCGATTCTAGGCATTGGCATTGTATTAAATAACGCTTTCAAATGTAACTCATGGGCCATTCAGGTGATAATATCGTCCTGCATTTTTTTATGTTACAATTAAACATTGGCGTCACATTCCTTCATCGTTTACCGTCATTAAAAAAATGGAAAACTTTAAATGGTTTAAAAGCTATACAAAGCAATTGCCCCAGTTTTTTTCTTTCAGTTCGGATATGACCTTAGAGTCGTTCAGGCGTAATCCAACGGATATAGTGTCATGGCACTATTCGCTTGAACAAGTATTTTGCGGTTGGTCAGTAAAAGCACTTGGTGAATATTGCTTCGCAATGAACGCTACTTTTTTTGAGCTTAGCCTTTCAAGGTAATCTGGTAAAAGTTTTCAAAAATCATTTATGCCAAATTTGAAGAAAAAAAAATCGACTTTCTATCGAATATTTATTATTACGCGCATATAAAATTTTGACTTCCTCTTGTAATTCCTATTCGAATGAAAAACAAATTGCTAAATTATTACTTTTTCAATTAAATACACAACAGTGACCGCGACCTGTTATTTACATTAATTTCGTGCAATGACGAGTAAAAGTGTGGAGCACAAATGTAGAGTGCGTGACAGAGAAAGAGAGAAAGAGAGAGAAAGAGAGAGAAAGAGAGAGAAAGAGAGAGAGAGAGAGAGAGAGAGATAGATAGAGAGATGTTGCCTGTTTAAATGCAAAATTCATTGTTTGGTTTCTTTTTCTGCGTATCCTTCGATCGATTTGAACCATTTTCACTGCCGGCTCGCGTGCAGGAACTTTCAAAGATTTCGCAAAATTACACAGACGGGCAGACACATCGACGAACAGTCGGACGTACTTAAATCGATTTAGAATTTGATGCGGATCGAGAATATATATACTTTGTGGTGTCTCTGATGCTGGCTTCTGCGTGTTGCAAACGTTTTGACAAAATGAATATACCCTTCATCCTTCGGTGATAGATATAAAAAAAAAGCTTTTATCAAATAAGTTTTATAGCGCTAGGATATAACTATTGTGAAGGGTTTCCAGGACATTGTTTCAAAGATAAAAGAGATATTGAACTCGAAGGTTCGCCTCTACTTCAGAGTGGTGTGAATTAAAGTGCGAATTACAGTCGCACTCGCACTCGCACTGCTTTTAAAATTTGGACTTAAGCGATTATTTTCCGCCCATAATTCGCAAAATGCTATTCGATGGGAAGAATGTTGAATTGATCTTATCCCTCTTGAAGAAAATTATGTAGATCAGATCGAATTTTGCTACCTTTTTTTCAAGTCATAGCATTCCTTGATCATCAATCGACGTATAAAGCTAAAGCACACATATACTTTGCATTATCACGTCTCCATTGAGTTACGGAGTTTCTGAATGCATTAATCGTGATTGTTTTAAAGAGATATTTAGAAAAGAAAATTTGTCATTCATCTCGGTTGAGCGAAACAACACTTTTATAAAAGGAAAAAGTTATTATAAAACAATTTCCTATCGTATAATTAAGAAAAATATAAATCAAGTGAAGCACTTGAACGCGATAAGTATTGAAAAGTGAAGTAAGCCGTGAAATTCAATTCTTTAATTTTTGTAAAAGAATATAAAAGAAATAAGTTAAAATTGTAAATATAAGTAAATTAAAAGCGTTGAATAAATATCGCGATTCAGCTGAAACTCTGTCATGTGTTTGTTTGCAGCAAATAAATCAGCGTTTATCATGGTGAAATGACCACAAAGATATGGCGAAAAAGTACAAAAAAAAAAAATTAATAAAAATAAAGAAATCTAGGCGAACAGTAATGTAAAGCATCCTTGAGATTCATGCCATCAAACATATATTTAAATAAATCTAGGAGAGCGCATTCGGCTTTACCATATCTTCGTGATTGCATATACATTTACACACAGTAGCAGTAAGATGAAAAGTAAGCTGACATCGCACAACAACAGAAAGAAACAATGAGAATAATAACAAGAACAACAAGAACAGGAACAAGCAAATGCTGGTGTCGCTAGTCGTCGTCGTCGTCGCCGTCATCGTCATCGTCGAAGCTCATTGCTTTTTGTTGGTTTATTACGCCTGATTAAATTCATTAAAAGAAGAAAAGCAAATAAAATAAAATAAACATTCATATATGAATGCATGCACACAAGCCCTATACACTACACTATGACATTGACAGAAGCCATAGAGCAGAGAAGAGTAGGAAATAAGAGGGAACTACGATGATAAAACCACAATTACAATATCTTTCGGATACAGCGATTGTGTAATTTGTTCAGCGTGCCTTTACTTACTGATGACATTGCTACGCCGCACGAGTGTCTCATATACGAAACGCTTAAGAGTGTGTACGTGCATATACATATATATGTATGTCCGTTGTGCTTTATTCAATTTGTATTTATATTTGCATTTATCCTTTTTTATGCGTCCTTATTTGTTATATGTTCCGTTCCGTTTTTGTCAGTATACCCTTTAAGTCCACTAATTGCGTAGCTTTTGTATTTATGTTCTGCACACGCATGACGCGCTTATATATTTCGTATCTAGCAAGCAAAAAAAAAAAAAAAAAAAAAAACAAAAATTAAGTGAAATGATACAAATATGTATAAGTGTGTGTAAGTCACAGGGGTTACATTACGCATAAACACACTCACACACATATATGCGAGTCTCAAAGCTATGGCTTTGAGATCGAAAATTCTTTAAGGTTATTATGGGAATTTGGTCTTTTCACTCATTGGGCGATAAAAAGGTATATAAGTTTGTTCTATCCTTAACGATTGTAAGTAACAATAATAAACTCTTAATTGTAAAGAATACCAACTAACAACAACAACAACAACGGCATTAAAAACATTGTCAACGCATCATTATAATTTCTATACTGCCTCAAGAATTCTAAGAACAAAAATAATATTTTAAATCTTCTGATAAGTTTTCCCCAAGCATACGCATTCAACCACTGCTTAGTAATAATAATAAGTATTCAACACATTTTCTTTACACACTTAACACTTTTGATTGTGTTGCTAATGTTGGGATTATTTCGAAAACTTGCCCTTACACAATTTGCCTTTCCCCCTCTCTCTTTCCTTTCCTTCTCTGCCGACACCACTATTTGGTTCTTTGGTTAAGTAATAAAAACAGAACAATATGGTCGAGTACACTTTATTTGCGATAAGCGTCTTTGTTAACGGATTTATTTGGCTTCTT